GGGGGAGGGGGAGGAGGGGGCTCTCTGGGTGGAAGCCCCCTTGGGGGCTGGAAATGGCTGGAGGACCCAAGGGGGGTGGGTGGGGGGGTGGACGGGTGCGTGGTGCTCCGGTGGCAGGTGATGCAGGAAGCTTGCTGGGATGGCAGAGCCTTCGGTGGATCGCAGCGAGGGGAGGGCCGCTTCCATCCATCCAGCGGTGCTTTGCGGAGGCTTGGAAGGGCTGGTGGGGAGATCTCTGGCCGGCTGCCCTTTCACACCTGGGCGGTTTGGCTTGGGGTAGGAATGGGTCCCGGCTCACCCTGTGGCTTCCTCCCTGCTTGAGAGCTAGCCCTGCCATATTTGCTTAGAGTGTCAGACGGCGATCCGGGTGACTCACGTTTGAATCTCCCCCCACCCCCCTTGCCACGGAGGCTTGCTGGGCCACGCCCTCTTTCTTCGCCTGCCTCGGGGGTGGTGGTGGTTGGGAGGTTAAATGGAAGAGGGGAGGGGGATGGTGTGAACTGCTTTGCCTCCCCCCACTGGGCAGGAGAGCAAATCCCCTCTGTTGCAGCCGTTCATTCAGGGAGGAGCTGTGGCTCAGCGGCAGAGTATCTGCTTCACACTCAGAAGGTCCCCAATTCAGTCCCCGGTAAGCACAGCATCCCCAGTTAAAAGGGGCAGACCGAGGATGATGCAAAAGTCCTCCTTATTCTGCCTGAGACCCTGGAGAGCCACTGCCAGTCAGATGAGTCCAGGCTGACCTGGGGGGGGGGTGCTTTGTGTGCTCAAAGCCTGTTTGGTGTCGTGGTTGAGTGCGCAGAGGACTCTAATCTGGGAGAGCCGAGTTTGATTCCCCATGCCTCCTCCACTTGTACCTGCTGGATGACCCTGGGCAAGCCGTACTTCTGACAAGAACTGTCCTTGAAAAGAGCAGTTTCTGTCAGAGCTTTCTCAGCCCCACCTACCTCCCAGAGTGTCTGTCTGTGGTGGGGAGGGGGAAGGGAAAGGAGTTTGTAATCCACTCTGAGACTCCTTCGGGTAGTGAAGGGCCATGGGGTATGAATCCAATCTCTTCTTCTTCTCTCAAGCAGGTCCCAGAGCCGGGGGAAGCAGTGCCGGGAGGGGGTCTCTTCCAGGGAAGACGGCGGCCTTCGCCCTGCCCGTCTTGGAGCGCTTGATCTACAAACCCCGGCAGGCCCCCGTGACCCGCGTCCTGGTCCTGGTGCCGACCCGAGAGCTGGGCATCCAGGTGCACGCGGTCACCCGGCAGCTGGCGCAGTTCAGCAGCATCACCACCTGCCTGGCCGTGGGTGAGTGGGCCGGGCCGACGGGCGGGGGGACCCACAGGGGGGGCGTGAGTGGGTCAGCGAGAGCCGCTGCTCGGCCTCCTGGCCTCTGACCTGTGTGCGGGGCGTGCCGTTGCAGGCGGCCTGGACCTCAAGAGCCAGGAGGCGGCCCTGCGGGGGGGCCCCGACATCCTCGTGGCCACCCCGGGGCGCCTGATCGACCACCTGCACAACTGTCCCTCCTTCCACCTGAGCAGCATCGAGGTCCTCATCCTGGACGAGGCCGACCGGTGAGCTTTTGGGTCACACAGGGGGGTGGTCCCCCCGGGGGGGGGGGGGCTCTTCCTCTGCCTGGGGGGAGGCTCTTGGCCTGCTCACCTCTCCCCCCCACCCCCACCCAGGATGCTGGACGAATACTTTGAGGAGCAGATGAAGGAGATCATCCGGCTCTGCGCGCGGCATCGCCAGACCATGCTCTTTTCGGCCACCATGACGGAGGAGGTACGGAGCCAGGGTGGCTTATCGGGGCCGGGCGTGGTGGGGTGGCAGGTGGGGGCGGAGGCGCCCCCCCCATATCCCCGGCACCTTCCTGGATCTTGCCGGTGGGGGGGTTGTTCTGCTGTCTCTCGGGGGGGGGGGAGATCTGCAGGGCAGACCTAACACCCCCTTTCTTCTCGGACTCCGGCAGGTGAAGGACTTGGCGTCCGTCTCCCTGAAGAACCCGGTTAGGATCTTTGTGAACAGCAACACGGACGTGGCCCCGTTTCTGCGCCAGGAGTTTGTCCGCATCCGGCCCAATCGTGAAGGGGACCGGGAGGCCATCGTAGCCGGTGGGAGCCCGTGGTGGGGCCCTCGGGG